GCCTACCCGCGCGCCGCTTTCTGTCTACCCGCGCGCCGCTTTCTGCAGCCCGTGCACCGCTTTCTGCCTACCCGTGCACCGCTTTCTACCTACCCGCGCGCCGCTTGTTCGTTTCTGACACGTCGCCCCTGCCCGCCGCGTCGAACAGCCCTACCCCGCGCCCGCCCTTTGGACGGCCGCCCCTGCCTCGCCCTGCAGCAGCTGCCTTCACGGCCCTGCTCCACCCTACAGCAGCTGCCGTCGCGGACTGCCAAGCCCTGCCGCAGCTGCCATCGCGGCCCGGTCTCGCCCTGCAGCAACTGCTGCGGAGCTCCCTGCCGCGGTCGCAGTCCCGCCCTGCCGCTGTAGCGGCCCCGCAGTCGCCTTCGTCGTGCGCCTGCTCTTCCCACCACTGGTGAGCACTGCCCTGCCCGCGCTGCTACCGCTACTACTGCTGCTACTGCTGTTACTGTTGCTGCTACTGCTCCTGCTGCTCCTGCTTCTACTGCTTCTACTGCTGCTCCTGGCGTGGCCAGATGCAGCTCCAGGGCCGTCCGCGTGTGTCCCTCATGCCCCAGCAGCTTCGCGAGTGGTACGCCAGTTGGGGTTGTCGGGGTGGCAGTAGTGGGAGTCATCCTGGAGTGGGTAGTTCGGGAGCTTCTTGTAGTGGCCCGGTGCAGCAGCAGCGTCGTCCGCGCGAGACTTGTTCTCCCCAGCAGCTTCGTGAGTGGTACGCTCAGAGTAGAGGGTCGCTGAGTATTGCTTGCTGCCCGTACGTTATTAGCACGGGTGTCCGGACTGGTCAGCCTTGCGGGACGCCTGGTCACACAGAGTCTCGCTGCTTCGCCCGTCTGAGCGACGCTTGGCGTACAGAGTTTGGCGACGACGCTGAGCTCCCCGACTAGGTGGAGCTGCTTAGGCAGAGGGTAGATATCTTTGCTCTTGACTATGATGCTATTCTCACTACAATGTATGCTTTGTCTACTAGTGCCGAGGGAGCCTGTCACCTATGTGTGCAGCTTGACCCCGGTATCCAGTCTGCTGCTCCAGGTGCCGGTGAGGCTGCCGCTCTAGGTGCTAGTGCGTCTGCTGCCCCAGGTCCTGGTGAGGCTGCTACTCTAGGTGCACGTGTGTTTGCTACTTCAGGTGCTTGTGAGTCTGCGCCTTCAGGTACTGCGTCTACTGAGGCACTGCACACCTTCACACTGGACTCAGGTGCTTCCCGCTGTTTCTTTCGCGACCGCACTGCCCTAGAGCAGCTCCCTAGACCGGTTGCTGTCTTCCTGGCTGACCCCTCCGGGGGTCCAGTCCTTGCGACCTCCACCACTGCCCTCCCTTGTCCTGCTGTCCCGTCCGGCACACTGTCGGGCCTTTACCTCCCCTCGTTCTCTACGAACTTGGTGGCGCGTTCCGCGCTCCAGGACGCGGGTGTTCACCAGTTCACCCCTGCCTACGAGCGTGTGACACACTGCACGTCTGCCCAGACGGGTCGTCACCTGGCTACCTTCGCTCGGCAGCCGGGGTCGGACTTGTACACACTGACCATTGAGTCCCCTCAGGTAGCGGCGTCTGCGTCTGCGTCAGGTCAGTTGTCCGCCCCCTGCTCGTGTCGCACCCTGTCGCACCGGACGGTCCTCTGGCACCACCGCCTTGGGCACCCTTCGATGCAGCGCCTTCGTGGCATGCACTCTCGTTTCCTTGTCCCTGGTCTCCCCAGGTCACTGCCTCCCCTGCCACCGTCCCCTGCCCCTCCTTGCCTTCCCTGTGTCGAGGGGCGGCAGCGTGCCACCCCTCACTCCTCTGAGTTCCCCCCGACGGAGGCTCCTCTGCAGACCCTTCACATGGACGTGTGGGGCCCAGCCCGCGTCCGTGGACAGGGAGGAGAGCGCTACTTCCTGCTGGTTGACGACTACACGCGTTACACCACGGCCTTCCCCTTGCGCACCAAGGGAGAGGTCCCTGCGGTCTTGATCCCTTGGATCCGCGCTACCCGTCTCCAGCTGGAGAGGCGCTTTCGCACGGACCTTCTTGTCGTGCGACTGCACTCTGACAGAGGTGGTGAGTTTTCCTCCGGCCTCTTGGAGGCCTTCTGTCAGGGGGAGGGCATTGAGCAGACGTTCACACTTCCGGCCTCTCCTCAGCAGAATGGGGTTGCTGAGCGCCGCATTGGCTTGGTCATGGAGGTCGCTCGTACCTCCTTGGTCCATGCGGCTGCCCCCCCATTTTCTGTGGCCGTTCGCGGTCCGGTACGCCGCGCATCAGCTCAACCTCTGGCCCCGTGTCTCCGTTCCGGAGACCTCGCCGACACTGCGTTGGACGGGAGAGGTTGGCGATGCGTCTGTGTTCCGTGTCTGGGGATCTCGTGCCTTTGTCCGCGATACGTCCGCAGACAAGCTCTCCTCCCGCGCCGTTCCTTGTGTCTTCCTGGGCTTTGTCCCTGATGCGCCCAGCTGGCAGTTTTACCACCCCACCTCGCGCCGTGTCTTCCCCTCTCAGGACGTCACGTTTGACGAGTCGGTCCCCATTTACCGTCTCTTCCCCTACCGCACTGCCCTGCTCCCCCCTCCGCCGCTCTTCCTCACGCCAGGTGCTGCTTCGGTAGACCCCCCGCCTCCCCAGGGTCATGCTCCCTCAGGTATTTCCCAGGTAGACCCGGTCGAGCCTGTCAAGGTAGCTGTCGACTCTGGCCCTGCGCGAGGTACTGAGCGTGCTGAGCCTGAGCGTGCTGAGCCTGGTGGTGCTGGGTCTGGGGGTACTGAGACTGCGGATGCTGAGCCTGGGGGTGCGGAGACTGCGGGTGCTGAGCCTGGGGGTGCGGAGACTGGGGGTGCTGAGCCTGGGGGTGCGGAGACTGCGGGTGCTGAGCCTGGGGGTGCTGTGCCTGGGGGTGCTGAGCCTGGAGGTCCTGAGCCTGGCGGTGCTACGCCTGGGGGCGCTCTCTCTTCCCAGCAGCTGCGTGAGTGGTACTCTCGGTACTATCGCCGCCGCCGTGGTGCTCTGGGCGCTGGAGGTGCTACTGGAGCTGGAGCTGAGGGCGCTGGGCCTACTGGAGTTGGTGTAGCTGCTGATCCTGGGGTTGGCGCTGGAGGTGCTGGAGCCACTGGTCCTGGTGGTGCTCGTACTGGCCGTACTGAAGCTGCTGGGACTGGAGGTGCTACTGGAGCTGCTGGAGGTGCTACTGGTACTGGGGCTGGTGGTGCTGCAGGGGCTGGAGCTGGAGGTGCTGACGCTCGTCCTCCTACAGGTGCTGGAGCCGACGGTGCGGCTGGAGCTGGTGCTACTGACGGTACTGGAGTTGGCACTACTGGAGCTGCTGGTGGTGCTGCAGGAGTTGGAGCTTCTGCTGGGGGGTTCTGGAGCTGTCTCAGCTGGTTCTGAGGGCACTCCACGGCCGCGGCCGTACTTCGTTCCGCTCCTTCAGCAGGTTCTTGGTCAGCCGCCTCCTCCTTGTCCTGCTCCCTCCTTAGAGTGTCCTCCGCCTGTCCAGTCGCAGACACAGTTACACCCTGCCTCGCCACTTCCTGGTCCTTCTCCCTACACTGGTCCGACAGGAGGTCTTACGGAGCGTCGTGAGCCTGCGTCTCGTCCTGTGTCGCCTGAGTCTCGTTCTGCGTCACCTGTTCGCACTGGTCGTCATGTCCCGCGTCAGCGTCCTCCTGCTGTCCCAGGCACTCACCAGATGACGCTTCGTCTTTCTACTGCTCCACAGCGTGTCCCTCTGCCTTCTCCTCCTGCCCTTCCTGCCCTTGCTGACCCGGAGTCTGACTCTCTTCATGCTGCTAGTCCTACTGTCACGCGTCTCCTGGCCACTGCTGTCACTGACCCTTCCTTTGAGTCTGCTGCTGCGTCTGCCTTAGTTGCTGAGCTTGTCAACTTTGCTGCTCACTGTCGTCTAGACTATGCTGCCAGTCTTGTTGCTGAGTCTGAGTCTGTCTGTCCTCCGTCCGTCGGGGGTGAGTGTGCTCTTGGCACGGACGTCCTTGAGGATAGGCAGGAGGAGTTTGAGTGCTTTGCCGCTGCTGCACCTCATCTCGTGTCCATGCTGATTGCACCTGAGGGAGACCCGGATGCACCAGACATCCCGACCCCGCGCTCTTACGCTGAGGCGATCGCGCGTGAGTACTCCTCTCAGTGGCAGTCAGCCATGGACGCAGAGATGGCATCCTGGAAGTCCACTGGCACTTACGTTGACGAGGTTCCCCCTCCTGGGGCGAACATCGTCAGTGGCATGTGGATTTTCAGGGTGAAGCGGCCGCCAGGTTCTCCGCCTGTCTTCAAGGCTCGTTACGTTGCTCGAGGCTTCAGTCAACGAGAGGGAGTAGACTTCTTCCAGACCTTCTCCCCCACCCCGAAGATGACCACTCTTCGGGTGCTACTGCACATTGCCGCTCAGCGTGACTACGAGCTTCACTCTCTTGACTTCAGCACAGCTTTCTTGCAGGGCAGCCTGCACGAGGAAATCTGGTTGCGCCGCCCTCCTAGCTTCACTGGGTCGTTCCCTCCTGGTACCCAGTGGAGCCTCCGGCGGCCGGTCTACGGTCTCCGCCAAGCACCACGTGAGTGGCACGACACACTGAGGACTACACTTGCGGCTCTTTGGTTCGCGCCTTCTACTGCTGACCCGTCGCTGTTTCTGCGCACCGACACTTCGCTGCCGCTGTTCTACATCCTCATGTACATCGACGACTTGGTCTTTGCCACTGCTGACACTGAGGCTCTCGCCCTGGTGAAGTCGGAGCTGCAGAAGAGAGAGACGTGCACAGACCTGTTGGAGTAGGCTAGTGTTCGCTCTGCATTTCATTTTGGCCTTATATTATTTTTTCGGCCACTTTTAGACTTAGTTTCATTTCTAGTTCATCTTAGGTTCACTTTGCAATTTGCCTCTGCATTGAACACGCCTTAGGTTCAGTTGGGGTTTCCCACCCCTAACTTTCAAATGTCTCTCGACACTTTCTCTAGTGTAACTTTTCCTTCTCGTTACTTCACTCACTAGCCATGGCTGCCACTCACCTAACTTCAACATGGTATTCAGAGCGAAATCCTAGGCGTTTCCTCATCATCTATATCTCTTAGTACCTTCCAGGGCCCTAAGCTTATTCCGCGCTACCCCTTAGCTCGTCGATTTTACCTTTTGTTTTCTCTCGATTTTTTTTTTTTCTCCCCAAATCGCGGATCCACCCTAAGTAGTAGCGCACGCCCTCCCTCAGCAGTAGCGCGCGACCTGCTGCTCGTCACGCGCCCTCTCTCCCTCCTCCCTTTAGTCGCGCGCGGCCCGTACTGCCGTCGCGCGCGCCCTCTTTCCCGCTTCCGCCCGCCCCTCGTCCCTCACCCGCGCGTCCCTCCGCTCCCCTCGTCGCGCGCGGGTTGCGCCGGTGTCGCGCGCCTTCTTCCCCCCCCCCTCCATGCGCGCCTTTCTGTGTTCTGCGGTTCGCCATCACCACTCCCCTCTACGAAATTCGTCTCTTCACTCCCCTCCTCCTCCTCTTTCTCCCTTCATTCCCTCTACAACCTTCCCCTTTCCTCCGCCTCCTATCTCACCTCACCTGCAGCAACTGGCTGCTGCCTTCGCCTGGTGGCTGTGTCTCTCTCCGCTCGTCTCCCCTCTATCAAGACCCTTCTCCATACAATCCGCCCCTTCACCCTCCTCCTCCTCTCCTCTCTCCCTACTCTCCCCTCCCCAATCTTGTATGAAAGAACGAGGGATGGATGAACTAGCAAGCAAGTGGGTACAAGTAGGAAAACCTAAAAGTGTTGTACCCCATATTGTCTACCCCACTACAGCCTACACAGACTATAGCATATGAGTTTGACACACCCCCATAGGCAAAGTGGGGGAGAACAAGAGGTCACAAGACCAGTCAAGCAAAGCAAAGCAAGCTCAGGGTGGATCACAACGTCACCACACATTCCGAGCACAAGTTCAAGGCCACAAGGCCAGTTCACATGCAAGATCATATATAAAGGTAAACAAGCAAGTGCAGGTATAGAAAGATCACAGTACAAGCAAGGTCAAGAAGTAAGCAAGTGAGGCCAAGTAGGCACAAGACCTAGCATCGTACAGAAGCGCTGATGATCACAAGGCGGAAGTGCCTTGGTAAAGATATCAGCAGTGTTGGCCTCAGAGGCCACGTAAGCTAGGCGCAGCTGACCACGCTGCTGCAGCTCACGAGCAAGGAAGTAGCGAAGAGCAATGTGCTTCGTTCTGTGCTCCAGTCTGTGCTCCCGACACAAGGCCAGCATGGCCTTGTTGTCTACGTACAGAACTGGAGGAGAACGAGGCGGCTCTCCTAGGTCAGTCAGCAGGTAGGTGAGCCAGCGTAGCTCCTGTGCAGCCATGGCCCCCGCGTAGATCTCAGCCTCACAGCTGGAGCCGAGAACAGAAGACGAGCGGGTATACCGCCACGAAACAGAGCCGGAACCAAGGCTGAAGGTGTAACCCTGTGACGACCGCTGCGTAGCCTGGTCGTCAGCCCAAGAAGCGTCTGCGTGACCTGTGAGGACCACTGAACGTCGCCCTCCAAGCACTAGCCCCATGCCCGACGTACTGCACAAGTAGCGCAACACCCTCTTCGCTGCAGCCATGTGCTCTGGTCGGTGTCTCCCAGGAGCAACATAGCGTGCCAAGATGCTAAGAGGGTATGCAAGGTCAGGTCGTGTGCAGGTCATCAGGTACATGAGGCAGCCCACAAGCTCTGGGTACGGGCCACTCGGCTCTACGGACTCATCCGAAGGCAGAGCTGAGAGCGAGTGGCGAGTAGACAGAGGAGTGGCCTGAGGCGAGGAGTACGTGAAGTCGAAGCGCTGAAGGACCTGCTGCACCATGTGTGACTGAGTCAGGGTAATGGTGCGCTGTGCTCTGTCCCGGGTGATCTGCAAGCCAAGGTAGCTGCGCAGTTCACCCAGGTCTGTGCACGTGTGTCTCTTCTGCAGCTCGGACTTCACGTGGGCGAGTCCAGCAGTGTCAGCAGTGGCAAAGACCAAGTCGTCGACGTACACGAGGATGTAGAACGGCGGCAAAGAGGTGTCGGTGCGCAGAAACAGCGACGGGTCGGCAGTAGAAGGAGCAAATCCAAGAGCCGCAAGTGTAGTCCTCAGTGTGTCGTGCCACTCACGGGGCGCCTGGCGGAGACCGTAGACTGGCCGCCGGAGGCTCCACTGGGTATCAGGGGGAAACGACCCAGTGAAGCCAGGTGGGCGGCGCAGCCAGATCTCCTCGTGCAGGCTGCCCTGCAGGAAAGCTGTGCTGAAGTCAAGAGAGTGAAGCTCGTAGTCGCGCTGAGCGGCTATGTGCAGCAGCACCCGAAGAGTGGTCATCTTCGGGGTGGGAGAGAAGGTCTGAAAGTAGTCAACTCCCTGCCGCTGACTGAAGCCTCGAGCCACGTAACGCGCCTTGAAGACAGGCGGAGAACCCGGCGGCCGCTTCACCCTGAAAATCCACATGCCACTGACAATGTTCGCCCCAGGTGGGGGAACCTCGTCGACGTAGGTGCCTGTGGACTTCCAGGAAGCCATCTCTGCGTCCATGGCTGACTTCCACTGTGAGGAGTAGGGACCCTCGATCGCCTCAGCGTACGATCGAGGAGTCGAGATGTCTGGTGCATCCGGGTCTCCCTCAGGGGCAATCAGCGTGGACACGAGATGAGGCAAAGCAGCAGCAATACACTGGAACTCCTCCTGCCTGTCCTCAAGGACGTCCGTGCTAAGAGCACACTCACCCCCGACGGACGGAGGACAGACAGACTCAGACTCAGCAACGAGACTAGCGGCGTAGTCGAGACGACAGCGAGCAGCAAAGTCGACAAGCTCAGCAACTAAGGCAGACGCAGCAGTGGACTCAAAGGAAGGGTCAGTGACAACAGTAGCCAGGAGACGCGTGACAGTAGGACTGGCAGCACGAAGAGAGTCAGACTCCGGGTCAGCAAGAACAGGAAGAGAGGACTCTGGAGGAGACGGCAACGGGACACGAAGAGGATCAGTGGAAGGACGCAGTGCCATCTGGTGTGTGCCTGGGACCGGAGGAGGACGCGGACGCGGAGCACGACTACTAGTGCACGACTACGAGACGCAGGCTCACGACGCTCAGCAAGACCTCCAGTAGGACCAGTGTAGGGAGAAGGAGCAGGTAGGGGGGAGGCGGGCTGTAACTGTGACCGCGACTGGACAGGCTGTGGACACTCTAAGGGAGGAGCAGGACCAGTAGAGGGCGGGAGACCAAGAACCTGCTCAAGGAGCGGAACGAAGTACGGCCGCGGCCGCACAGCGCCTCCAGAACCAGCAGGGACAGCACCAGTACCCCCAGCGGCAGCACCAGCGCCAGCAGCACCTCCAGCTCCAACAGCGCCAACTCCAGAACCCTCAGAAGCACCCGCGCCAGCAGCACCTCCAGCGCCAACACCCCCAGCTGCTCCAGCTCCAGCAGCTCCAGCAGCTCCAGCTCCAGCAGGACCGTCAGCTCCAGTACCGCCAGCAGCTCCAGCAGTACCTCCAGCAGGACCAACTCCAGTAGCCCCAGCAGCACCCCCAGTCCCAGCAGCTCCAGTACCGCCAGTACGAGCACCTCCAGGACCAGCAGCAACAGTAGCACCTCCAGCTCCAGCAGCACGGCTCCAGCGCCGGGCAAACCACTCGCGCAGCTCCTGCGGAGAGGGTAGCTCCCGCCTCGACGAAGCACCGCCAGAGGCCACACGAGCAGACCCAGCACCCCCAGGCTCCGCACCCCCAGGCTCCGCACCCCCAGGCTCAGCACCCCCAGGCTCCGCATCCCCAGGCTCAGCACCCCCAGACGCGGCACCCGCAGGCTCAGCACCCCTAGACTCAGCACCCCCAGGCTCCGCACCCCCAGGCTCAGCACCCCCAGACCCGGCACCCGCAGGCTCAGCACCCCTAGCAGCACCAGAGTCAACAGCTACCTCGACAGGCTCGACTGCGTCTACCTGGGACACACCTGACGGGGCAGGACCCTGAGGGGGGAGAGGGTCTACCGGGGGAGGACCTGGCGCAAGGAAGAGCGGCGGCGGGGGGAGGGGCGCAGTGCGGTAGGGGAAGAGACGGTAGTAAGGCACCGACTCGTCAAAGGTGACGTCCTGGGAGGACAGAACACGGCGCGAGGTGGGGTGGTAAAACTGCCAACCAGGCGCGTCAGGGGGGAAGCTAAGGAAGACGCAGGGAACAGCACGGGGGGACAGCTTGTCCGCAGACAAGTCGCGGACAAACGCCCGAGATCCCCAGACACGAAACGCAGACGCATCGCCAACCTTCCCGGTCCACCGCAAGGTGGGGGAGGTCTCTGGCAAGGAGACTCGGGGCTGAAGGTTGATCTGATGCGCTGCGTACTGAACCGCAAACGGCCACAGAAAATGGGGATCAGCCGCATGGATCATGGACATACGAGCGACGTCCATGACCATGCCAATGCGGCGCTCAGGAAGTAACGCTCGTGACCCTGGCCACGGACGCGGGCGGGGCCCCACACGTCCATGTGAAGAGTTTGCAGCGGAGCCTCTGTCGGAGGAAACTCGGAGGAGTGAGGGGCGGCGCGCTGCCGCCCCACGACGCAGGGAACACAGGTAGGGGCAGGCCCCGGAGGGAGGGGAGGGAGGGACCGGGGGAGACCAGAGACAAGGACACGGGAGGCCATGCCTCGGAGACGAGGCAAGGAGGGGTGACCAAGGCGGTGGTGCCAGAGGAGAGTCTGGTGGGACAGGAGACTACACGAGCAGGGAGCAGACTCAGGACCAGACCTGGACGCTGCAGCAAACACCTGACCCGACGCAGCTACCTGACCAGACTCAGCAACCGGAGGAGACTCTGTAGTCAGTGTGTACAGGCTCGACCCCGGCTAACGGGTAAACGTGGCCAAGTGTCGGCCCGTCCGAGCACACGTACAGTGGGTCACCCGCTGACTCGCAGGAGTGAACTGGTCAACCCCCCCATCCTGCAGATCAGCACCACTCACCAAGTTCGTAGAGAACGAGGGGAGGTAGAGACCTGACAGGGTGCCAGAGGGGGCTGCCGGACACGGCAAGACAGTGGAGAAGTGGGCAAGGACAGGACCCCCAGAGGGGTCCGCCAGGGAGACCGCAACTGGCCGACTAAGCGGCGTAAGCGTGGTGCGGTCTCGAAAGAAGGAGCGGGAAGCACCCGAGTCAAGGGTGAAGGTGTGTAAGGCCTGAGCCGACGTGGTACCTGAGAGAGCAGACTCACCAGCACCTGGGGCAGCAGACGCACTAGCACCTAGAGCAGCAGCCTCACCAGCACCTAGAGCAGCAGCCTCAATGCCCGGGTCAGGCGGAACACACAGGTAACAGTCACCCTCATCACTAGTAGGCAATGCATACATGGCAGTGAGGATAGCATCATAGTCAAGAGTATAGATATCTACCCGCAGCCTAAGCAGCTCCACCCAGTCGGGGAGCTCAGCCGCGTCGCCAAACTCCGTACGCCAGGCGTCGCTCAGACGGGCGAAGCAGCGGGACTCTGTGTGACCAAACGTCCCGCAAGGCTGACCAGTCTGAGCACCAGTGCGAATGACGTACGGACAGCGAGCAGTACCCCGTGACCCGCCACGCTGAGCGTACCACTCACGAAGCTGCTGGGGCAAAAGGACCGCGCACGGACGACGCTGCAGCTGGCCACTACAAGCAGTTGCCGAACTACTCACTCCAGGACGACTCCCACTACGGCCACCCCGA